CCAGACTTAACAATTGTCGATAAGAAAGACAAAAAAGTCTGGATAGTGGACGTGGCAGTGCCTGGAGAGAGCAGAATAGAAGAGAAAGAACTGGAGAAGATAACAAAATACAAAGACCTACAAATAGAAATAGAAAGACTGTGGCAAAAGCAAGCAAGGGTAGTACCAATAGTCATAGGCTCCTTGGGTGCAATCCCAAAACAACTGGAGCACCACTTGAACACCATTATCGGCATTGACAAATTCGCTATTAGTCAATTGCAAAAGGCGGCCTTGCTAGGAACTGCTTCCATCCTGCGACGATATCTGTAATACCATCAAACATACACATCCGACTATCCCAGGTCCTGGGTAAGGACTCGATAGGTAGACAAAATGCCAAATCCAGTCTGAACATCTGGCTGACTGTGCGATGATCGATAATAATAATAATAATAATAATAATAATAATGTGCTTCCATCCTGCGACGATACCTGTAATACCATCAAACATCCACATCTGCCTATCCCAGGTCCTGGGTAAGGACTCGATAGATAGACAAAATGCCAAATCCAGTCTGAACATCTGGCTGACTGTGCGATGATCCATAATAGTATTAGTGGTAGTATTAGTGGTAGTATTAGTGGTAGTAGTAGTGGTAATAATAATAATAATAATAATAATAATAATAATAATAATAATAATAATAATAAAGTTGGAAGGGACCTTGGAGGTCATCTAGTCCAATCCCCTGCTCAGGCAGGAAACCTTATACCATTTCAGACATTTTTCTTTAACGTATGAGAAATGTAAAAATGTTGGGATGGTTTACGTAAAAGAAATGTTTTCTCGGTTTTGTCTTTTTTTCTATACTAATAATAATAATAATAATAATAATAATAATAATAATAATAATAATAATAATAATAATAATAATAATGTTGGAAGGGACCTTGGAGGTCATCTAGTCCAACCCCCTGCTCAGGCAGGAAACCTTGGAGGTCATCTAGTCCAACCCCCTGCTCAGGCAGGAAACATAATAATAATAATAGTAGTAGTAGTAGTAGTAGTAGTAGTAGTAGTAGTAGTAGTAGTAGTAGTAGTAGTAGTAAAGTTGGAAAGGACCTTGGAGGTCATCTAGTCCAACCCCCTGCTCAGGCAGGAAACATAATAATAATAATAGTAGTAGTAGTAGTAGTAGTAGTAGTAGTAGTAGTAGTAGTAGTAGTAAAGTTGGAAAGGACCTTGGAGGTCATCTAGTCCAACCCCCTGCTCAGGCAGGAAACATAATAATAATAATAATAATAATAATAATAATAATAATAATAATAATAATAATAATAATAATAGTAGTAAAGTTGGAAAGGACCTTGGAGGTCATCTAGTCCAACCCCCTGCTCAGGCAGGAAACATAATAATAATAATAATAATAATAATAATAATAATAATAATAATAATAATAATAGTAATAAAGTTGGAAAGGACCTTGGAGGTCATCTAGTCCAACCCCCTGCTCAGGCAGGAAACCCTAGTCCGTGAGGCTCTTGGCA